TAACCTGCTAGCCACTCCCTACTGTCAAGTTTGCCTAATATACCACTCTACTCCAGTCTCCATGCCTTTGCTCCTGCTACTGTCTTCTGCCTGGCAAACCCCAGTTTCCGGTTTATCTCTTTGTTTTTTGAGACAGGATCTCATTTTGTCACCCAGGCTGCAGTGCAGTGGTGCCATCTCAGCTCACTGCAGCCTCGACCTCCTAGGCTCAAGTGATCTCCCACACCAGCCCCAAAGCAGATGGGACTACTGGCATGCACCGCGACACCGGTTAATTTTTTCTTTTTTTTTTTTTTTTTGTAGAGAGGAGGTTTCCCCATGTTGCCCAGGCTGGTCTTGAACTCCTGAGCTCAAGTGATCCGCCACCTTGGCTTCTCCAAGTGCTAGGATTACCAGTTTATCTCTTTAACACCTCCACCACTGCGGAAAAGAGAAGAGTGCCACTGACCTCGAGGAGCTGGCCTGGTGCTGCGGGCCAGGCCCCAATGTTGTTGGAAGCTGGCTGGCACCCACAGGAAGGCCATGTTGTTCTCCTGTTGGACATAAACAACCACGCAGACCACCCACACAAGGGCACTCTGCATCACTGACGACAGGACACGAAACGAGACCACCTCGTCATTTTATCTAAGCAGAGAAAAATCAAGGTCACTGTGCCATCCACAGAATACCAGACATCTCTTTCTCCCAGCTGACAGAAGTGACTGCAGCTTCTTCACATGTTACAGCTTTAGCCTTACTCCAGCCAAATCTCCTTCCAGAAAAGAGAGAGCTACTGGATGGAATTTTCCCACCACCTTTCAGTACTCAATACAGAGAAAATCTGACCTTCCCCCAAATCGCCCAGCCAAAGCCCAGATCCTAAATGTCTAACACCCTCTTACTGATGGGACCCACAGTTCCTCATGGTGTGAGTTTTCTCTCCTTGCAATAAGTAATAACCTCTGCTTGCTTAACTACAGATGTGTTTCTGGTGGTCTTTACTGGAGGAATTAACAACTGTAAAAGTAAAAATGGATGATTTTCTTGGGGGAAGGCCGGGCGCGCTGGCTCATGCCTGTAATCACAGCACTTCAGGAGGCTGAGGCAGGTGGATCACCTGAGGTTAGGAGTTCGAGACCAGCCTGACCAACATGGTGAAACCCCTTCTCTACTAAAAATACCAAAACTAGCTGGGTGTGGTGGGGGGCACCTGTAGTCCCAGCTACTCGGGAGGCTGAGGCCGGAGAATCGCCTGAACCCAGGAGGGAGAGGTTGCAGTGAGCCAAGATTGCACCACTGCACTCCAGCCTGGGCAACAAGAGCCAAACTCCCTCTCAAAACAAAACAAAACAAGTTTCTTGGGGGAAGTTAAGGGAGTCTCATTCTGAGGGCTCCCATTTTCTATGTTGAGCAATAGCTGATATTATCTTGAGAATAAAAAAGGGGTGGGGTAAATCAGAAGTCTGAAGAAAGTAAAAAACGTCTGAATTAAGTATCCGGAGAAAGGGAGCGTGAGTTGATCTGAGAAATAAACTAGGATAGTCAGGTTCTGTTAAGGGCACAGGTGAGGTTGGCTGACATGATTGTAGTGGCACCAAGCCACGCTACTGTGTGATTTCTAGCACCTATATTCAAGGCAAAAATGGATTGTTTGGTTAAACCAGCATTTTGGGTCTACTAAGACCAAAGGACAAGAAAGATAAATGCACTGTCAACAGAATTACTGAGGGATGAAGGATGAACTCTAAGTAATCAATTAAGAGGTAACAGCAGAGGGAACATCTAAAAGATAGAGAAAACTACTGAGGTGCTAAGAAGAAATGGGCACAGCATGGGAAATAGAAAATAACTGGTCAAGCAACTTGGAAAAAGGGGTCAGGGCTGCAGAGTGTTGCACTCTCATCTGTGAGGCAGTGCAGGATCAGGATAAAAGCACAGGGTATCATGGTGGGAAAGGGTGACAGAATCAGATAGGAAGAGGTGATTACTACAAATCAGGTGTTCAAGAAATTGAGTGCCCCATGCATAGGCTCCATGTGGACGCTGAGGTCACCTAAGGTGAAGTCATGAACCGAGGTAGAAGACACTGTGGGCCAAGCACCCCGTCTTCCATGAATGAGGTGAACGACCAGGAGAAGGTGAACAACAGCAACCAGGAGGGTTCCGGCTGGGCAGGAAGGATCTCCATGGAATGAGACGGGGACACACACAGGAGGACACAATGCTCAAACCCCTGATCCTGAGATACACAGGGGACAAGAAGGAGGAGCCACGGGAGAGGGCTTCAAGATGGGATATCCCTGGGGAAGGGTCAGGGTGAAGGCAAAGGGAGGGAGGGAATGGCTAAGGAGTGGCTAAGAAACAGAAGCTGATGTTGATTATCGGGTGGTAACTGCAGAGGACACAGTGAGGGGTTGGTGGGATGGTTGGGTCATAGGTAAACAAAAGAGGGAGAACAGACTCAGTGGCATAGCATGATGGACATCATAAGGACAGCAGAGAAGGGAAGGGAAGGAGAGTGGGCTACCATGAAAAGAGCTCAATTGATACCTATTGAGTCAAATGGAATTAGTGTAAACCTAATATACCCAACCAGAAAATTTCTGATACAAGTCCAGGATCATAATGATGATAATGGTTTGACGACCATGAGGGGTGGTGATGACAGTAACTACCAATTCTGAACACCTCCAGTATGCCAAGCACTGTTGCAAACACTCCACATTTCACCTGCACAGCAATCCTCTGAGACAGGTAACATCCTCCTTATCCCCAGAAGGACTCTGTACCAAAGGAGGAAGCAAACTAAACAGAAGTAAAAGATTTATAGGTGCCCCAGAAGGCTGACTGGCTTTTTATTTTATAGCTACAACTCACTCAGGGCAGCAGGAACCACCCTAACTCATAGCTCCTGCAAATTCAGCAACTATAAACAGTATTCAGCCTGGAGGGAAACCAAACTAGCTATAATAATTTACTGAGGGCTTCACTTTGTGTCAGATCCTCTGCATCAATAATCTCATTTAATCCTGACACCCATAAAGGTTACCTTTATTATCACTGTTTTAAAAATGAAAAGACTAGGCTGGGCGGGGTGGCTCACGCCTGTAATCCCAGCACTTTGGGAGGCCAAGGCAAGCGGATCACTTGAGGTCAAGAGTTCAAGACCAGCCTGGCCAACATGGTGAAGCCCTGTCTCCACTAAAAATGCAAAAATTATCCGGGCAAGCTGGTGTGTGCCTGTGATCCCCGCTACTTGGGAGGCTGAGGCAGGAGAATCACTTGAACCGGCAGGTGGAAGTTACAGTCAGCCAAGACAGCTGTGGCCAATAGCAACTGAAAACCACAGAAGAAAAAAGGCTGAGTATAATCCACTCAAATTCACAAATTTCACAAGGGACTGCCTCTAAGACTTTAATACTTGTGTATTTATTGATTTAATCAATCACCACTTACACAGACTACATGCCAGACACTGCTCCAAGTACTCTACTAATATTAAATATCATTTTTGTCCACACCCACCTATGATGCATTATTATAGTTCCCATTTTACAGATCAGGAAACTGAGCCACAGAAAGGTTTAGTAATTTCCCCGACTTTATACTGCCAGTAAGTGGCAAAGCTCAGTTTGACAGAGTCTAGCTCCAGAATCCATGCTCTGAGAGTTTAGTGCCCAAGAACCTACAAAAAGTGCACGGTTTAAACCAACACACTGGTTTTCCCCACTCTACAATCACTATGTGGCCTCACCTCCTTCTTCCACCTTAAAAGCACTCTTTGAGCTCCTCTAACAGTTCACACTCCTCTGAACACTCTCTTACAACTTTCCTATTTTTCAAGCCTTTTCTTCTCACTTTTTTCTTTTTTTTTTTTTTTTTTTTTTGAGACGTAGTCTCGCACTCTTACCCGGGTTGGAGTGCAATGGCGTGATCTTGGCTTACTGCCACCTCTGCCTCCCAGGTTTAAACGATTCTCCTGCCTCAGCCTCCCAAGTAGCTGGGATTATAGGTGCCCGCCACCATGCCCAGCTAATGTTTGTATTTTTAGTAGAAACGGGGTTTCACCATGTTGGCCAGGCTGGTCTCGAACTCCTGACCTCATGATCTGCCCATCTCGGCCTCCCAAAGTGCTAGGATTACAGGCATGAACTACCGTGCCCGAACTCTTCTCATCTTAAACATCATTAACAAAATTACAAACTCTAATGGCACTGCTGTATTTGTCAGCACTCAACACAAAAAAAATCATAATTATGTATTTCATAAGTAATTATTAGCTTCCTGTCTCTCTTTTCCAACTAAGCTGTGAGTTCCAGTATGTCTGACACCATCTCTGCCTTGTTCTTGATGTATTTCCACCACTGAAGCAGCCCAAAGTAAGGGCCTAGCGCAAAGCTCTCGAAAATTTTTGTTGAATGAAAGAATAAATGGTGGACACTCAAGTCTCATGTTTTCTCTTTATCTGACATGTACCTCTGCTGGCTACGCCCCCATCTCCACCACCACACCCTTAACAGCGGAGACTTATCGTGCTACTGGCTCTGCAAAGAGATATTACCTGGCCCTGGGCGGGTTATTTCCCCCTTGTCGTCCTGAGTTTCAGGTGCACAACAGGGATCATGCCAACCCCCTAAAGAATGCAACCTACAAAAGAGAGAGAACCTACACCTCTCATCCTCGTAACCCACCGAGGCTGGAGCTAATATGTGCTTCATGTTGTCTTTCCAGCAGGGTTTAGCTCCAAGAAGCCCAAGGCCTCGTCTGCCTAGTTCAGGGGCCTGCTCCCATCGACGGTACCCAGCCTTGCCCTCTGCCTGGTTCACAGCAAAAGCTCAGAAACGATTCGTTAAATACATGAAGCCCTGTTCCGTGCACTTCACAGGTGGGAAGCAAGGGTCGTGCAAGGCGGGGGCTGCATCCCTGCCAGCCTCGGGCGTATTCTTCAGACGCAGGCCCGCCTCCCACCTAGGCCAGCGCCCCAGATGCCGGCCCCGAACCCCGCGCCCGACAGGCACCTCTTGCACAGGGAAGCATCTTCGCAGGTGCCGCGCACGCCCTCGTCGTCCGCGTCGCAGCTTGAGGCGGAAGAGCAAGAGGTAATAGAGGACTCCCTCTGCCTAGTGGCCATGGGCGTGGAGGTTCCGGGGAGCTGTGTCCGCCAGGGACATGAAAGCGGGGTCGACCGGCGGTGGGGAACGGCGCTAGTCACAGGCAGAAAGCAAGAGAAGACGGTAAGGCTCCACCTGGCTCAGCTGGCGCGGCTCAGTGACGCCGCCCACGCCGGCTGCCCCAGCAACCTCTCCGCTTATTGGTTCCTCTTCCGAGTCGCTCATTGAACAATTATCCTGCCCTCTCAGCCTACGAAGTTGCTCATTGGATAATTATTTTGGCACCGCCTACATAACCCGGAAATTTGACGATAGGAAAAAGAAACTAAACAGTAGCAGAGTATCGCAATCCTTTCTGGGAAGTGTAGTCTTACTTCCCTGGAGAAGTCGTCCGGTTTCTGCTGGCTGGTCACGAAATTTTATAGCTATAATTAACTCATGGCGGAACAGCTAGCAGAATCCTCAGCGTTCGGACAAAGGGCAGAGAATCCAACCAGAAGCAGCAAGTATAAGTTGTTACGTTCAGTCCGGGCTCAGTGTCATTCAATGTTACAAAATTTTGTTGTGTGCTGACTCTGCCAGCGACTGTGCTGAGGGCTTTGCACCCAAAATTGCCTTTGAAATGTAGTGAGGGGGGCGGGCGTGGTGGTTCACTCCTGTAATCCCAGCACTGTGGGAGGCCGAGGCGGACGGATCACCTGAGGTCAGGAGTTCGAGACCAGCCTGGCTAACATGGTGAAACACCGTCGTTACTAAAAGCACAAAAATTAGCCGGGCGTGGTGGTGGCCGCCTTAGTCCTGGCTACTCAGGAGGCTGAGGCAGGAGAATCGCTTGAACCCGGGAGGCGGAGGTTGCAGTGATCCGAGATGGCGCCACGGCATTCCATTATGAGCGACAGAGCAAGACTCCGTCTCAAAAGAAAAAGAAAGAAAGAAAAGAAATGTAGTGAGGGAAGTAGTGTGTGGAAAAGTAATACAATAGGAAGCTATGTAGCAGTGATAATAAATGACCTAGAGCTACCAGGTAGCAGCATCAAGGGCTGAATCTCAGAAACACGATGTTCAGTGAAAGAAGGAAGTCTAACAACACTTTGTAAAGTTCAAACCAAGGAAAACTAATGTTGTTTAGAGAAACATACACATACGGTAAAATACTGTACAGAAAAGGGCAAGACGAGGAAAATTTTTTAAAAAAAGAATCAGGATATTGGTGACCTTTAGGGAGCTGAGAGGGTAGCACACAAGAGGGGAGGGAGAGGCAGGGAAGGAGCACAGAGACACATCCTGAGTTTCTCACGTGGGAGTGGGTTCACGTGTGTCTGTTTCGTTATGATGCATATTCAAGATGTTCTGGCTTTATTTTGTACTAAATCCAGTACAAAATATATGTATAAATTCAAGATGTACTGGGGAAGTCACCTGGTTTCTTGCTGGTCATGAAATTTTATAGCTATAATTAATCCAGGGCAGAAGAGCTAGCAGAATCCTCAGTGTTCGGGCGATGGGCAGATAATCCAGCCAGAAGCAACACTTGTAAACTGTATATGTATAATGTATGTTTAATATACATTATAAATTGAAAATGTGTTTCTATATTCCATTTTGTTATCTGTCAGTTGTTGGAAGCAGGGAACAGACATACTTTAAGAACTTTGAATTGCACTCATTTTTTTAAAAAGGAAAATAAACAACAGAAACCCAGAATACACACCTCGGGGTGAGGTCAAATATCAAATGCTAGCTCAGTATTCTAATGGAAGCACAATATTTCATTGATAGCCACAGTAGAAACGACAGAGGGGAATGGCTAAGGGTGGAGAGCTTTGCCAGGGGGAGTGCTAATGGGATGAAATACACCATTTTCTTGGAGTGGTCCTTTGCCAAAAGGTTAATACAAACTATTGCACAAGCATCATCTCCCAGCTTAGCCGTGTCCACATTCCATGGGTGTTAGTGGATAGTGTTAACAGCAAGTACTATACGGTGTTAATCCCATAGTTCTGGACTGTGAGACTGAGGGTGACTGGAAGAAGGCAGAGGAAGATGGGTTCATACACTTTTGTTGTTGGATGAGCCTTTGATTCAAAATAGCTGGTGATTCAGAGGAATTTGGTCATCTCAAAGTCTTCCAGCTAACCTCCAGGGCTAGCTCATTCCATATAAGTTCCTGGTTGAGGGTCTGAAAGTTTATGACAGAGGGGAGTCCGGAGATTGCAAGCTTAGCCATCTCAGGCTAAATGATACCTTAATGCATGAGACAATGCTGGGGTAGTCTTTGAACCATATCCCAGCCAGAGAAAGTTCACTGCCAACTAGACTGCATCTTTTGACAAAGTCAAGAGAAGAGTCATGGAAGTGTAAAAACTCTTTGGACATTAATATTGTGGGCCAAAAGTTAGGCATTCACCATGGAAGTTCTCCCCAAAAGGCTACAATGGATAATTGTTACTTTGGCTCTCCAGTATCTCTTTCTTTTATTAAAAAAGAAATAGATAGAGTGGGCTGGGCACGGTGGCTCACACCTGTAATCCCAGCACTTTGGGAAGCCAGGGTAGGTGGGTCACCTTAGATCAAGAGTTCGAGACCAGCCTGACCAACATGGTGAAACCCCATCTCTACTAAAAATGCAAAAGTTAGCCAGGCATCATGGCGCATGCCTATAATCCCAGCTACTCAGGAGGCTGAGGCAGGAGAATCACCTGAACCCTGAAGGCGGGGGTTGTGGTGAGCTGAGATCACGCCATTGTACTCTAGCCTGGGCAATAAGAGCGAAACTGTCTTGGGAAAAAAAAAAAAAAAAAAAAAAAAAAAAAACCTAGAGCTTCTTATGGAAAACTAAGCCTCTCTCCTTTCAGTCCACGTGAATCAAGACAGGCTCCTTGGCCGGGCACGGTGGCTCATGCCTGTAATCCCAGCACTGTGGGAGGCTGAGGCAGGCGGATCATGAGGTCAGGACTTCGAGACCAGCCTGGCCAACATGGTGAAACTCCATCTCTACTAAAAATACAAAAAATAGCCGGGCATGGTGGTGCGCGCCTGTAGTCCCAGCTACTCGGGAGGCTGAGACAGACGAATCTCTTGAACCCAAGAGGCAGAGGTTGCCGTGAGCTGAGATCGTGCTACTGCACTCCAACCTGGGCGACAAAAGCGAAAGTATCTTGGACGGGAAAAAAAAAAAAAAAAAGCGAGGCTCCTTGCCTGATTCTAGGGGTGGAAACTTGCCAAGGTCTGGCCAACTAGCATCCAAAATCACCTTGCCATGCTTCAGAGGGTGGTGGGGACTGGGGGAAGTGCTAACCAGGTTGTTCCAATCAGAATGAATCCCAGGAGTTGAATGGAAGTTGCTCAGTTTATTAGCAGAGCTCCCTTTTTTTGCCACACTTGAACTTGGGAGGTGCCATCAGGTGTGGCCTGTGTGTCTGCCACGTGGTCTCTGAGGCTCCCACCTGGGGGCAGCAACACACCATCCTAACCGGTGGGTGCTTGAGTTCCACTCACTGATGTTCAGGTTAGAACTTTTTGGTCACTGCATCCAGCCTTGTGACCATCACTAGCTGCTTGGGACAGCCATAGAGACACTATTAGAAAAGTGTGCCCCCAGCACAGTCCTGGGAACAATCCTTTGTGTTGTTTGTGGCGAGGAAGGAGACCATCATCCATCACCCCAGGAAGATTTAGGAATGGCTCCCTGCCTGTGTCCTAACAGTAACTCTTCAAGCAAGGGTAGTGATGTTTCCTGTGGCACTGTTGCCCAGCTGCTGATCTCTGTTCTCCTGACCCCTAAGAAATGCACATCCCTGATAGTCAGTGGCCTAGTCACTGATGATGAAAAAAATAAAATAGACAGGGAATGGCATTTGTTGTTCAACTTCCCTCTCGATGAAAAACCCCAAACCGACAACCCTGGGCTTTGTTTCAGTGTTGCTTGCATTCGATCAAGGGGCTCAATAGCCCCAGCAGGACCCTAAACAAAATGAACTTACCTGGAGTGGACCCCAGCACTGGGGAGATTACCTGGCATTCCCATGGGGAGGAGGATGACCACCCACGGGGCAGGCTGCTGGTCTCCCTTTCCCCATAACTTCCCTGAAGATTCACACCACGAGTTATCTGATGGAGACAAAAACCACGTGACTTGGACGTCGGAAGAGTGGAGGGAACCCTTAAAATACATGGGAATCCCACTAAAGTCAATGTGGTAAATATTTTACTATTATAGTTTTGGCTAATATGTTCTGCCTGTTTCAAGGGCCTCTCAGCCACCATCTGCCCGAGGGTAGGTGGACGGCGTCGCTGAACGTGAGGTGTCAAGGGCTGGGGCAAAGTCCCGCAGAGGCCGCTTTGCTCTGCGCTCTGCTCCTCGCGATCTTCGCCAGATCGGGCTCGTCGGGGCTCGGCTCCGATCGGTCCAGCTCGGCTCGGCTCGGCTCGGTTGGCCTCGGCCCCGAACGGTCGGCCCAGAGGGTGGGTGGACGGCGCGCCGGAAGTGACGCGAGAGAGCGAGGTCAACGGCCCGGGTAGCCGCAGCAGACGTCGTCGGTGGCCTTAGCTGTGAAGCCGTGAAGGAGCTGTCTGGGTGTAGCGTTGCCTGCCAGGCGGAGCCGCCGCTGCTGTGAAGAAACAGTTCAACCTCATTAGCAGGTGGCCAACCTGACCATGGGCGGGTCGGCTCCGGACCGGACCACGACCCAGCCCGAGGCCAGCGGGACCCCAACTGTCGCTCAGTAGCCCCCTGGCCCCTGGCGACCAGCTGGGACGGGCCGCTGCCTCCTCTGCAGCCACCCCTCGGGTGCCCCCTGCCCATTGTCCCTACCCCGGCGAGTATTGCCCTGCGAGGAGTACACCCGATCCCTCTCCTCTCTTCCCGAGGACACAGCCAGCCAGGGACCGCTGCCCTGTGCTAAAACTCCGATGACTTCTGTCCCTAACGCTGTGTCGAGCGCTGTGCTGTGGGGGGCAGCATTGTCAGGCTTTCCGGGTTGACCCGCTCTTGGGAGTCCTGTAAGTGCATGGTAGCAAGAAATAAAGGGATACATGAAAGCCAGTCGGATTTGCTTAGTGGATTTCAGAACGCCTACGAGGGAATTTGGAGGTGGTGCAGTCTCAAAAACCAGGATTCCTAGGAACTTCTGCTGCAAGTTCTTGACATTTAGAAATTTAGAATTGGGAGACACCTTGTGCCAGTTT